AGCAGATACTAGGTGAATTGACTCCACGAAGTCTGAAGTTCTCCAACAATCTTTCTGTCTGTTTTAAACAATCTTAATCTCTATCCTTGACTTTCCATAACACCTTATATCACAAACCACACCTCTGTTCTGGTCTATCCACCAATCAAAAAGCTCTCAAATGACCCGGAAGTCGAACCCATTTAAATGTGGCAACTTCCCGGTTCTCTTAGAGTCTGTGTCGAGATGAGTCGAGACGAGATGACAAGAGCCTGAAAGAGTGGGAGAAAAGAGTTCAGAGTTCTTGGATGCACACGCAGGCATTCAAGCTGATCCAGAGACGATGTTGGGAATTATAACTTCTGTTTGGATAACCTCACACGACTCCTAAGGGTTGTTAGCTGTCCTCACGGAAACGCTGAAAAAGAGTCAAAAGGAGAACTCTACACCGACGCTGAAACTATCATCAACCAGGTAAAAGTTCTATTTCGACCAAGCGTACCGTGGCCAAGCTGATTTTCCAAAGAGCGTGTTGTTCTGGTACTACAGATAAATTCCCTCACACATCTCTCTGTAAGATAAATCTCCATTTTCATCTTTAAACTCTCCTTTCTGCTAGAAAATTAATCCAGATGTTTTCATTAATGTCTGTGGTGATGCAACGGAAAATCATGGCCGTATGGTTTTCCTGATTGTAAAACTGATTAATTGATGTCTGCCGTTTTAGCTGAAAAGTGAAAACAATCGCCGTATTGTTCTCACTTCCTGTAAAACTATGCTGTTGTTATTTTCATATTTTGCCAAATTAATGTAAATGTTTGATGTTAAACTTTGATTCTGTAAATAAATGACCGCATTCATTTTGATGGGTCAAAGATAAATAACGTCTCTCGTTACATTTCTGTTAAACTCAATGCACGCATGTTACACAGTCAGAAAAATGAAGAACCCGTTAAATGTATGAATATATCTGCACCCTGTTCATACTACAGATCTGAGAAACCGATTTCTGAGAGTTTATGACACAAGATGTTATGATCCACAGTGTCAAAAGCTTTAGACAGGTCTAAGAAAAGTGCAGCACAATAATCCTTAGCATCCAGTGCTTCAACAACGTCATTAAGAACCTTCAGTGAAGCAGTTGTTGTGCTGTGTTGTTTCCTGAAACCAGATTGATGTGGAGGTAAGATGTTAAATGAGTCCAGGTAATTTTTGATTTGAGAGTTTATCAGTTTTTCTAGAATCTTGGCTAAAATGCAGAGTTTAGAGATTGGTCGATAGTTGTTCAGTGAGGTGGGGTCTCCTCCCTTCAGCAAAGGAAGAACAAAGGCTGTTTTCCAAGTGTCTGGGATGGAGTTTTGTCTTATGGAGAGATTGAAGATGTGGGTCACAGGGACTGTGATGATATGAGCAGCCAGCCTTAAGAAATAAGGTGGAAGTTCATCTGGACTTCACTAACTAACAGTAACTCTCGTCTCCTCACGTAAGGCAGCTCATAAATGCGTCCTATCGTCCTCGGACGGTACAAAAACGCATGAAGCGGCTACTAAAACGGGCAAACGAACCAAAAAGGCACTTACACACTCACCCTGAACCACACATAAGAAATACAAGTAATGATTGTAAATGTAAATGAAACGACACCATCTTAATCCCAACACATAAATCAGTAAGAAACACAACCAAAATGGTCGGCAGAGGGCCAGAACTGCACAGAAAAGGTCGAAACTCAGCTGCCGGTCTAAAAAATAATGTGTAAAACAAGGCCTTCATATATAAGAAGATGTGATCTTGTACTCTGCATGCAGTCATGTATCTGCATAGCACCAGACACATGAAGTTTAGATCAAATTCTCAAACATCGCCGGAAACGAATAGTCGACCGTCATGAACCATGGGGGAAATCACTCCACAGTCCACAACTACAATTTTAGCATGCCCAATGTGCAGAAAGGGTAAATGAAAATATTTTCCGCCTACCTTGTTCATATTACGGCGCCGTTTGACTGCAGAGTGAAGTTCGGCCAACCAAAGCAAAAAGGAAAACAACTCCCTCCTCTCTTCTGTTCCTGCTACCAGAATCACGTCGGGGTCACCAATTGAAAGAATGTGTTCTGATCTGGAGCAGGGAGAGGAGGAGCAATTGTCTTCCATTTCAGAAGGTTTATTTTACATGTAAAGTACAAGATCACCAGCCCTGGGCCATTGTATTTCCACCATGCGGTCACAAACAATGGCGCCGAGCGTAAACAGACAACCCATCTTCTTCAGAGCTCGGCCACACCTCCTGGAGTCATCATCACCATCAGCGAATGGGAAGTCCTACTCTTATCATGTGACCCAGGTCTCAACCAATAATATCTAGCCATCTTGTGCTCTATAATGGGTGGGTGCGTGAATGTTGGGAGTTGTAGGCATGTAGCTAAAACTACATTTTCTACCGGAAACTGAATCAGATCATGTTTTAACACAATATCATTCTAAATATCAAAACAGGATACATATATCTAGACATTTCATTAAGTTAATATATTATCTGATAAAATTATATTTCAAGTGCTTTATAAATAAAGTGGTATGGTATGGTATGGTATGCTAACTACTAGCTTAAGGCGAGTACACATGAGCTGTGATTGGTCGACAACCGCAGTTTGGGACGTTCTGATTCGCTGAGAAGCTGGTGACGTAACGCTGTGTACGTCCGCTCACTCTGGTGTCAGTGCGTAAAGCCCACCCCCGATGTTCACGTGTCTGTAAACTCACGTGACCCCGGAAATGACGCTCGTTTTAAAGGAGTCTTCCTTTGTGTTTAAAAAAGCTGAATAAAGCTCTGACA